CTTTGCAAGTTATACCTATTTAAATTTTCTTACTTGCTCTTGAATTCACACAAGATAGTTTGAATACACACTTCACATGTAACATCTGTGTTATAATACCTCTAAATTTAGCCCTGATATTTTAGATTGAAATTTAAATGTATGTTATGATGTACAGTATGAATTTCTCTCTTATAAGTATTACAGGTGTTTGCTTTTAAGCAGTTTGTACTATCAACCATGCTAAAAATACATGCTATTAATGTAGCAATAAAAAAGTTGAAAAACTCTTACATAAGATGGCTACTTTTGCCTTGAAATTACTGAGCCAGACTGCCATCTATTGGAAAATAAATATTTTTTAAATTAGTCCTTTTTCTTTTTTAACTGAAACTACGATGAATTATTGTCAAAAGCTGATTTTGCCAGCAATCAGACTTAAGACAGTTTAATTTTTTTTTTAAAGGAAACACCCAAGTTAACTAAACTGCTATACAATCAAAGATTTCCCTACATTTTTTTTTTCCTACCTCATGTTTTCTGGAACATGTTTTGAAGCACAGCTCCTTTTCCAGCTTGCTGAACAATCAAATCCTAGTTAATTGGAGTCAAAGTTTTATATTTAGCAAACACAATAAAACTATAATTATGGCAGCACTGAACAGTACACAAGTGTAACACTTTCCCAGCACAGCTGTGCAGCAGCTCTCAGGGCTTTCCATGTTTTTGCATACACAAGGGAGCTGAAAAGCATGTTTAAGTCCCAGTGACCAAAATGGGGAAAAAAAAGGCAGATAGCAACTGGGAATAAAAGTCTATGAACCACCCCCCCACCCCCCCCCATCAATCCTAGCCAGTGCACAAGCCTTTGAGAAAAATGGACAATTCTAACTAAAATGATCCCATGCTCTCTCTGAAGCAGCATAACAAACCATATTTCCAGCTGCAAAATTATGTTCAATTTGGCCCCTAATTTTGTGGAGAAAATGAAGAGGGGGCTGTTGTCTGATATGTCATATTATACATGTTTCAATGACTGGTGATGACAGACTAGGAAACATAGAATTAATATTTTCACGACAGCACATCAAGAAGTACATTGAAACACACCCAGAGTTGTAAAATCAAGCACTGAAATTATAAAGTTTCCAGTGAAGCTTCACCTTGACTTTCTGTAGTTTATTCTTTATAATGTACTCTTCCAATAAAAGATCACGTTAACTTATTCTAATTTGACTTCATGCTATTCAGCAAACAAGCATTCAGGTTTCACCCCCTCTTATTTGTTCCCTTCATTCACAGAGCTAACAGTCTGCTTCTCCAGAACCCCCAGTTTTTTCCCCCTCAGCTTAAGGAACAGAAGTGTCCTCTGGGGACATTCTCACTCACCTCCCGATCTGTTCCTATTCACATCTACACCGTGCTAGTCTTTTACTTATTGTTTCTTTGTATCCTCCCCTCCCAGACGTTTATGCCTTCCAGTCCTCAAGATCCTGCCTTTTAATTTTCCTACCCAGCTCTTCCATGTCCTGAGGAGGTTTAAAAGTCAATGCTGTGCTGACTAGTAATTTGGAGTTAAGGTGACTGAACCCAAAATTTTCATCCAGAAAGCTTTTTTTTCCGAGTTTCACCTAGCCTCACAGTTGTGCAAATCTGCTTCCTATTTGACTATAAAATACTGTAACAATATAAGGCTCTGGAGTTTTTTAATGCCTTATGTCACACGTCACACACCTCGTCCACAGAAGCATACTAAGTAATAATATGTATTAGTGCTTTTAATGCCAACTTGGATGAACAGAAGGAAGTCCCTTAGTGCAAACTACCAGAATGACTTGCTGTATGGCTGGATGACTAATTTTCCAATAACTCAGGAAATGGAAGAATGGACTCAATTCTGTCCTTGAGCTAAGAGAGTTCCAACCCGTAACTTCTTCAAAAGAAAATGTAGTACTTTAAAGGTGCTGTATTACTGATCAATAAACAGCAAAATACATCGGAGGCCAGAAAAGGAGCAGAATTTGCTAGTGAATAGGAAGTCCCAAGTCCTGCTCTCAAGATTGCACTGGTATTTTTCCAATGGTTGTAAATTCCAAAAATAATAGTGGAGGGGATCAACAGGCTGATGCTCTGTCCTTTTATTTGGGAGACTATGTAAGCGATGTTAAAACCCACCCTCATGCCGTAGAGTGAACTGAATACCACTCTTTCACTTTCTAGATGAAACATTTTACTGTCAATGCATTAAGAGGTAGGCATCTCCACTACCCTTACACTAAGCAAAAACAGTGAGCCCTGCTCTTTCAAATGAAGCAGGTTAGCACTTCAATTCAGGCAAGAACTCCAGGCTGTGGATCCTAAAATGATTCTATGATTCCTTTTTGCAGTCCTGAATCAATCTAAACCTTACTTAGCCAGAGCAGTACCAGAGCTGATTTGACCCTCTTCAAAAGAGCCGTCTATTAAAAAAATTCTTTAAACCACACACAGTTTCCTTATGCATTCTTTTTCATATGCCCATGCTACCCTCAGGGGGTGGCTCCTGATGCTCCTTGCTCCATCTTACTGAGGTTTTGAGCCACAAGCTATTATTCCAAAAGGAAGTTCCTCAAACTTGGCCTCCTATTTCTCTGAACAACAGCAAAAAATGTCTCCTAGCAGCCAGTTCCTTTGCAGAATCTCCATAACAGTTATGAAGTGTCATGACTTAGATTTTGGAACCTGTGCAGATCAACTACAGGAAAAGCTGAAAATCCTGTACCAGTCATCATTCTCTGGAACGAACATTTGTCCAGGAAATGGCATCATCTGACACTTTTCCACCAGTGACCCAACTTCTACACCTTCTCAGAGCTGATGCTGGCACAGTCAGCAATGAAAGTTAGGGGAAAGCTGCTGATTTGAACTTGAAGTAACTTCTTGCTTGTAGAGCCACTGCAGGTGCAGTTATCAGCCCTGTGCTGGAGCTGGTAACAGGGAAATGCTTCACTTTGTTCTGCAGGCAGTAAAAGTCACTGCTCCAGTGCTACCACACTCCTGTGTTGCCCCTGCCCCCATACAGTCATGGCATGTGTAGCAGCAATGAATGTGAACTGAATGAATGCAGTCAGTAGGGAAGATCCCACTTACCCTACTGAGATTTTTATGGAAGCTTCCCAGGAAGGAGAAAACTAAAGTCAAAAGAAACTGTAAGAATCTCTCTCTTCTTTAATACACATCCAAGGAATCTATTTCTGACTTTCCATATCTATACATGTCTCCACTTCTCTCTTTCTCTCTGTATCTTCATGTTTTTATACATAAATATTCATTTAAGTTTCTTCAATCATCACCCTCCTGTCTACACTTCCACCACCACGCTTGCTGATCCTACCCCCAGAGCAGTTTGGCAGCATTCACCTTTGTAACCATTTTCAGAGCTAAACATATCTCTTCATTTTAGTGCTTCTACCGATTACTCTTTGATAGCTCCTTACAGCACGTATGGGTTTTCAAATAACGCATCCCTATACAGGGCGTCGGTACATCAAGAGAAGGCAGCACTTCCCCAAAACCAAAAGAAGGTATGTTGAAAATGAGAGTGACTTCTCTTTTTGATGCAAGGCAGCCAGGTAGCAACTGAACAAACTGAGTGACCTTAAAATACTTTTTAAAATTATATGGATGTTTTAGATCAAACAGGAAAATCCTACATCACAGCAAAGAATTTTCTCCATATAGGCCTGTATAGTTGGGTTTACTCTACCAACAACATGCTTTAAACAGTCCTAATTTTTGAAGCTTTGTTTTCACACCTATTTTCATATTCAGTATATGAATAGGTGAAATCTCAAACGGTTTATTGCCTAATTTATCTTTGTATCTGCCTGCTGCACATAAATTACAGATATAGTGTCTGAATATTTCCCATTCACATTGTATTTTGTTTCAGTCTATAAAAAATTCAGTATGAGTAGACAGAATTATATGGATTGCATTTTCTGCAGAACAGCAGCTGAGCAGATTTAAATAGCAGTTAGCACCTAAATACAGACAGACACAAGAAAGATGCTCAAAAAATGCTTAAATGGGATCAGCACCAGCTTGTTCAGGGTGACTTCAATATGGGTTATATATCTAATCATTCAAACAGCTAGAAGGACTTTACAGAAGTATCTACTGCATTTCAGGGCAGCTAACAATCTTTGTAAATCTTGTTCTGTCTATATTTATTGTAATAAATCCTCTAGAACATAAAAATCCTTAACTCGCCATGCTTTCTCCTCACATAGTAAAGCATATTTTTTCTTAATTTATGAGCATTAATTGAAATTTAGCACTTAGCATTTTCCCTCTGTACTGTGCTTTATTCCCTGGGCAATCCCATTTAATTTACTTACTGAAGAAGATAATTCAATTTTATTTTTTTTTTTAAATAAAAAAAGAAGAAAAAAAGCCTTGTTATACTGTAAAGAAAAAATGAATCTTAGAGCACTTTATTCACAGGATTAATGGTAATGAAGTAATATTTTCAACTGTAGTTGGAAATCACTGAACTATCACAACCACAACAATTTTCAGTATTAGAGACTCGGTCTTTAATACCAGTAGGCTTGGGAAAGCTATATAGCCATAAAATGTATAAGGACCATAACTGAAGATGCTTAGCTGCTTCTTTTGAGGGGCACTTCTGATGAGATTCTGCAAGTATTTAGTCTTTGGTATAGTACTGAGCACACTGATTTCAACTGATTTCTCAAAAAACCCTTCCTTGCACTGCCCACACTCAATAACTAACCTGAACTTTCAGTCATATTAGTGGTGCCATGAAAAAACATTTTGAGGTGTGGTAAGCAATATCTTTGCAAAGTAAGGGAAACATTACATCCTAAATCTGCAAGGACCATATGGTAAATTACTTTTTTCTAATTTAATGTTAGACTTGTACTAGTCTCACTCTTGTACTATTTCTTTCTTGAATGTTCCATAAATAAAGGAGATATAACTGAATATATATAGTCTTTGTATCCCATCTTACTTACTACATTAAGCTTGGTTTGGCTTCCACTGGTCATAAGTTCTTCCTCTGATACTTTACTAAAATTGTCCAGATAATGGTCTGATATTGTATGAGACAGATCTTCAAAAGAGTATTCCTTTTCTTGGCATAATTTGATTTCATCTAAGAGCTTTGATAATTCTCCAGTCACAGCTTCACCTTTAAAAACAGACACACCATTAGTCAATACTTAGAATACCAGGGGTAATTTATGCCTAAAAAGGAAATGCACATTCTTTAAATTGTATTAAGTATTTGTTATATTCCATGCTTTAGAATCGAAACAGTGACCTTCATGCACAATTCTCACCTCAAAAATAATAGAATCTCATTCGAGAATGGGAATCACTGGAGGTAATCTACATGCTTCTTCAGTCCCCTGTACCTGGCATTTAATTAGGATGAATTCCAGTATATACTTACCCTTTCTCTGTCTTCTAATCCTCATAATTAGCTAGAAATAGCAATTATCCAAGGATATAAAATTAATCCAGGAAAGGAAAGTTTCTACAAACATACAAAATCAGTGCCACTCTGCAGTACTCTGCATCAGGTTCACTCTGGCTACTGTGATCAGTTAATACACTACAATACAGATTCCATAAACTGTAAGTAGTTTGGAACTGAGTTTCTGAGAATGCACATCTTTCCCATTAAGGTAGCTGTGTTTTATAAGAAATTCTTGTTCACTTTCCCAGGATTAAGGGGAATGGTGGAAGGTTATACTGGGCAAAACCCACGTGCATGCCTCCCTACAGCAGTCTATCAGAAAACCATGTTTAGTGCATTCTGCATTGTGTTTCATGTTTCCTCCTTAATTTAACAGATATCTATAGTTCAGAAATCTAACAGAATAGTAAGACAATGGGCTTTATATATGTCTATACTAATTGAGGGTCACTATTAGAAATACTGGTAGTAATAAGTATTAGAATCACCTTGAGTATTTTCGGCAAATAGCCCACTGGCAGCAGCAAGACCCTCTCAAAGTAAAAAGCTACTTGTTATGAACAACTGCATGAGGTTCTGATAATCTACTACAAGTGTGTTATACAGCTACCTTCAGTAATAGCAATGAAAATGTGAGTGAAAGCCAAGCTTTTCCAGGGGCAAATAAGAAATCCCTTCTCTTTACTAGGTATACAAGAGTCATATGCTTGGAAACTATAGTCCTTAGACTTGATAAAATACAGAAAAAATTCCATTTTACTCCATCTTCAGGAATAAAATGCTGAAAAGGAAAAAACAGAGTGAGCATATTAAGCTCAGTATACATACAACACACAGGTGCATTAACGTAACTAAAGAAGCCCCGGATAAGATTATGTCAGCGTGGTCTAGAGCTGGTTTTGTGTTAATTTTTCTTCATAGTCACTGCTTTTATGCTGAGTAAACATAAATATTCCATAATATTTTTTAAAGTTACAACTATAGCCAGTTATGACTGAAACTTTCAGATCCAAGAACAGAAGCTAATAATTAAAAACATCTCATTGCCTTTTAATATCCAAGTAACAGAAATTTTGCATTCAAAACTTGTTACTCTTACCAATGGTAACTCTGCACAAAACTTTTACACGAAACAGAAATCTAATCAGTTTGGGTGTGTTTTTAATTAGAAAATTAAAATTATTCCAGGTTAATATAAGAATTTAAAAATTGTAAGTAAAATACCTAAATATCAAGAACTAGTCTAAAATCATGATACAGTGCCCTAAAAAGGAATAGGACTACTTTTTCCTACAGAATTATATTTGCACCCCCAATCCCACATTCTCCCACATCCAGCCTGCAATATTTCTTACCGGGCAAGAATGAATTCTATGTGACAAAACTGCAACTGCAAGGGTGCAAGGATGCTGACAGACTTGTAAGTGTATGCTAACTGGCTGGCTCATTGCTACCAGAACAAATACATAAAAGATAATTTTTTCTTATTTCTTTCAATGTAGGTGCTAATTAAGGTCTCTCATCTATCTAGCTACCTATTTTCACAAAAGCCACAGAAAGGTAATTGATACTGCTATCCCTCTTCCAAATTCAGTTTAAATTATTTGAAATGAGATTGTCAGAGAATGGAAAACAGATGGAAGGGCAGCACAATCAACTACAATTTCTTTCCTTTAGAATCAGATTACACAGTAGACAAAACCAGACAGCATGTTTTACACTATTGATCCCTTTAAAGTGGAAACAAGGAGTGTAACATCATGACCCTACCATTAAGAAGAAAAATGCATTTTAAAAAATATTTACTACTTAATTTCAGGACAGGCATTTGTGCTGCACAGGTTAGTTAACTTCATGATTCTACTAATCTCAAAGGAACTATTTATCTTCATACATCATCTGTCAGTTAAGAACCCCAATGGGAAACATGACTGGAACTGGAGCATTTGTTTGCTGTCACCATGAAGATCATAACCTGGTATGCAGCAGTAAGCTTAGTTTTCTCATGAATAAACACTCTTCCTGTAAAGTTCAAAAATCACACCCCTCCCCAACCATGACCAAAACAACACACGTTTTAAAAAAAAAAAAAAAAAAAAAAAAGATTACTTATTTGCCAGTAGTCAATTACATTTACTTTGGATGATTAGAGAAGGCAGAAGTCAGGTTGATGATTTTCATGGAAGAGGAGGATGACATCACAGAGGAAATGCCCTATTTAAGTGGCTGTGGTGTGTAAAGGGTGAACCAAAATGGAAGATGAAAGCATGTGCACACAATAGTGATGGTCATGGTATATGCAAGATATGTTAGAAGAAGAATGGAAACAGCAGCATACACACGAATTTTGAAAGAGGCATCCAAATGTAACACAATTGGAAGAGGTACTCACTGGGAAAGATAGATTTACTCTTTAACCTGAATGTGAATGATGCCTGCAGAGTATTTCAACAAATCTAGTATCCTTTGGTTTTACTTGATTATGAAATGTGTAAGGTCAGATAAATTAAAAAGATTTAAGATCAAGTAGTGTAACACATTGTAATTCATCAATGATTTGTCATTTCTGAGAATATAGTTCTTTGCTTTCCTGTATGACATGGATTACAGTGTATGTAGTCAAGATAAGTAATTCAGGGTGGAATAAAGCTTCTCAATATCAATAACATTCTTAAGCTCTCTTTTTCATTTTGTATATTCGCATAAATGTGTTAGCAATATACTTTTAATATTAAAGAGAAGTTCAGTATAGCTTCTGGTTCACAGAGTATATGTATTTACTTTTAGCCTTTGGAGACGGAGGAACTTCTGGGGACAAAATGCAAGACTGATGTTCTGCGCATTCCAGTGGGCGTTCCTCTGAAATACTTGCATTTCCTGTTTCCATATATTCTGCAATTTAAAGATATACATACACTTAAACTCCTGAATTAAGGGGGTTTATTCCAATTAAAATTATATTTGCTACTTCATTTTTCATTAAACCTTTCTAGTTTTCCATATTAAACCCTTGTAATTATTCATAAACACTACTGCAAGGCAATCATTTATTGAAAGCATTACAGAACACTATAATGGCCAGTTCTTTAATCTGTTGAAACTGCTAGAAAAATCTCATTATAGGAGTAATTTGTTGCAACTATCCCTGTGTTTATTGTTTCCTTGAAACACCTATGTAACTGTTCCATTTTATTATTATGGTTCAGTTTTCTTTCTTCTACATTTGTGAAGAGCTTTTAGGTAAAATATTCAGGATTCAGGTTCACAGTAAGTAGATATATTTATACTGCGAAGAAAAACAAATATTCTACTTGTAGCACACAGACAGCACATGAGAAAAAAGAGAATGCAGTCTCAAAAATTAGTTAAAACCAGCAGCCTAAAAAGCAGTATTCTAAAATTTTTGTGCTTTTCCTCCTTGAGACTTCCCTTGTCCCACCTTCATGATGATGTCTATAAAAGCAGGAAAACTTGGAATGATTAACATGTTAAATTTCCACTTTATTACTATTATTTTTTGTGTGAATATATACATTATTTTCATATGCCTTTGTACACAGGCTACCTCAATGGAAAACCAAGACCTTAATGAATGTTATTATAGGACAAAAATAAAATTCTAAATTAATTTATGCATTAGTGGCACTTTTTTTCCCAGCAGAGTGACTGTTTCTCACTTCAGGCAGTTATACTACATCTGCAGTTTCTTGATTTTCTGAAGTTGCTTAAGCAAGTTCTTTCTGATATCAGATAGTAAACACAACGGTGCATGTTGCAACAAACACAAAAGTGAACTACAATAACTGCTTTCATCAATATCACACTGAAGGGCTAAGCAGTTTCTGGGAAGTGAAATCTTCCTCATTTAATTTCTAGAATCTACAACACACTTGTTTAGCTTGCTGTTATTCCTGATTAAATAACAATTCCCCAAACCCAAATACAATCTGTAATAAAATAGACATCTGAGAAAATGAAATTGGAAATGGCAGCAAACAGCATGCAGTTTCAGAATGCTTTGCAGGTTGTAGTTTGTTTTGTTGTTTGTACTTTAAGAATGTATGATTTGAAAACGTCATTTATTAAGTTTGATGGTTGCAATGGTCCCCTGGATAATGCGTCATACATTCCTTCACATGAAAATAGGCACTTAATTTTTTTGTGTAGTGCTGAAAGCAAAGAAGCAAAGATTAGCTCTAAGAGACCATGAGAAAACCAGCAACATGACAAAATATTCCAGAACGTTTTCCAGCCCTGTCAGCTATATTATTTGTTGAGTTAATGTGTAAGATGGAGGCGAACTAAAAAGGAAGCTAGACACAAAGAAAAAGGAAAAATGCCTGGAAATACTTGCTTTCTAGTTGTGCGACTGTCAAGAAGCAAACCTAAAATGAAGTTCTACCTGGTGGGAGTGTTAAAATTATTGGATCAATACAGATATTTCCAGGAAAGAAAATGCAGGAGAAATTGTGAAGGACTTTAACCTTGTTGTCCAATGTTCATATAAGACTGAGCTTTTCAAATACTCTTTTTATTCTTTGACAGGCTCCACTTTCAGACCAATGCGCTTTCCTGCTAAAGGCTAGTTCTGAGGAGGAAGTCCCAAATTCAAATAAAGTTCCATAAATACTTATGTTAAAAACTGCAGAGCTCCTTCCAGAAAACTCTTTACAAAAGGCTCAGCACAAGGTATGGTGTAGGAGTTTAAAACAGGCCAGCAGTGTGCCATCCTTGCAAGAGTGCAACACTTACAATACAGGACCTCTACTCCCAATTTGGTTTTGTGCTATTGAAAATACTACCAGACACATCTGAGAGATAAAAAGACATGAACTCTCTTGTGAGGGGCTTGTAGTTTAGGTAAATGCATACTTACCCATAATATTATCAAAGAAACAGACAGAAAACAGGTGATTTATTTCAAATGCCAAAGTACACACATGTAGTGGATGCTTCCACCAGCAACCAAATTATATTCACCTGCATCTGGCTAGAAATTCATCTTCAAAGCCTGCCCAAACTTATTGACAAAGATGATACTGCTACCATCACCTACTCTGACTATGGTGCCCTTGAGAGACTGCTCTTGATTCTATCATTTTTCCTCAAAAAAAGAAAGATAATTCACAAAAAAGCCAAGCTGAGTCAATTATACCACTTAATGACAAGAACAGCTTCTCCAGCTGTGGTCTCACTGAGTTTAGAGAAAAGACTGTCATCCTATGATAGGGCAGAATAAAGGGCATGTGGGCATTGAACCAAGAGATTCTTACCACTTCCTAGCTTACTGTCATCCTGTTCCATGTTTCAAAGACAGCCAGCATGACTAGTACATAAGGGGTGAAGGGAGCATACGTTAATACACACTTCAGAGATGTCTCCTTACCGCACTGTTTTGGGAAAAATTGAGTATTTTACTTCTGTTAACTCAAACTACAGATTACAGTTCACTGAGGATTAATACTAAGAATCTCAATAACTGCATTCTTAGTAGCATTACAGTTACCAGATTTTGATATAGCCCTCCTCAATCTAAAGTGACATGCATTACAAAACATAATAGCAGAAAAGTTACCGCACAGCATTGGGAATAAGATCAGTGGGGAATATGAACCCAAGAAGATAACAAAGATAACAAGCACTACAAAGTTCAAAGAGTCGGAACTCAGCTTTCTCAGTTTCAGTAGGTAACACCAGTTAGGCCAAAGCCAAGCAGAAAGGAAAGTGTTAACACATAAGCAGGGAAACACAGCTGCCTCTCCACAGAGCTGCCAGATCCAGGAAGATTAAACATGAAGAGAAGATGGCCCATCTCAGCTGGGGCTGCTGCTGAGCTTCCAGGGGCACCAAAAGCTCAGGCTCTAGGGCTTTAACTTCAACTCCTCTGAGTCCTAATTCCTCAGTGAGGTGACTGGGTCAAGATTCTTGCTTTATTTATAAACCTTGGCTTTAAAGTAATGGCTAAATTAGGTTCAGAGAACTTTTCACTTTTCCTTTTAATGGGAATATTTTTATTTTACCTTTTGTTTTTTTTTTAGTTGAAGTATGAGTTCCTTTCCTTTTTTGTTTTTAGAGGCTACATTGGCCATGCTATGGGGTGGATTTCCATACAGTTCCTTCCTAAAGCAACCTTCCATAAAGGGGCCAAGAGACTTTACAAATTCTATAAAAGGCAAATGTTATCAGACTAAGAATCTGAATGCTCACCTTTTCAAACAGAAGATTCTCCAAGTAACTAGATCAGAGGAATAATACTTGCTTGGAAACCACTTCCCTCCACGGGCAATGTCCCTGCAGGGGGATCCTTAACGCCTTCACTCTGTGTCTTCCTGAAGCGCAGCAACCTTCAGAGCACTCTCTGCCACCCCCACCAAAGCTCTCCCAGAAAGTGTTTGACCATCCTGCAAATCCCCTGAGTCCTGCCCCAACCCACGAGCTCTCTAAAAGCTCCTCCCAAAACAGCTCACTTGGTACCCTGGGAAGCAGCCCACCTGAGGCTGGGCTAGCTTTATGTCCTACCTGTCAGAGGATGATTCTAAATGACTCAAGTTTAACTCACTCCCAAAGAAACCAGGAATCACTAGATGTTTAAGTTAAAAGTATATAAGCAGACTTCTGTGCATTTGTTCAGGAAAGATAAATAGAAACAAGCGCTTTAGTACTACTATGACCCTGAAATAGGTAAGGGTGCAGCTAAACTACCAGTCCCCAAAACAACAGCAGTTAAATTAATTCAGAAATATAGTCAATACTTTACAGCGTATAAAAGGAGCTGAAAAGCCCTCAGAAAAAAAAAAAAAGAACAAAGAGGGATTGAGATCCCAATTCTTGTCACCCCACACAGCTGTAATTAAATCCTTCACTGGAAACCAACTCCAACTTTCCAGTGAGACCTGCCTCCTGCACTCATAAGAATGGAAGATCTATTTGTCCACAGGAAGAGAGGGAGAAAAAGAGAAAGTGAGAATACACAAAAGAAAACCAGTGCTGCTCCCACCAAAGCTATTTAAGCAGAGGGGTGGAGAAAGGAGTTCTGGTTCTACAGCTGCTTATGCATTTTCCATTTATGAATATTTCAGTAACACATACAAACAATGCTAGGTTCTTAAGCAGCTTGCGCACAAGAGAGAGGAAACAGCTTTCCATTACAACTCCCTCCATACCGTCTATGCAGCAGAGCTTATCATGCCTTCCCAGGGCTCATGTTATTTTTCATCTGTTTATCTACTGTCTCCTCTTTTTTTTCATAATAACAAGAATTCTGCTTCCAGAAATAGTAAAAGAACGAGATTCTAACATAGAGCATAGTGGGCTTTAGAGAAAGAGTTTAAAGATGATATAGCACGCACCTGCGTCATGTTCACATGTGCTAAAACTAAAACACAGCTGGTCGATTTAATTTTAGGCCTACTAGCCTTGGCAACATCCCTTTTATCTTCAATGCCTAATTATAAAGCCCTAAGTGCCAATACTGTTAACTGCTTCAGCACTGAATGCTGTTGTTTCACTACATCCATGAAATGGATCCAGTAGACTGGCCTTTGGCACAGGATCCTCATTCTCCGCAGTTTGAGAACATAATGCTTGAACAGCTATTTCTTCATTACCACATAAAGAATTTAAACTGTAATAAGTATTTTTAATGGAGTTCAATGCAACTCAGACCTGAGCAAGACACAGAAAGTGATGAGGCATATCTGAAAGACAGTTTCATCTATAATTACCAGGCAGTAAAAAAACATTCAGGTGGCATGTCTTACTCAGCCTTTTTCATTTTGATCTTTAAAGTGACATTGTTATTTACTTTCCTTCTATCAGATAATGCACCATAATATTAAAAAATAAAACAAAACAAAACAACCAACCAAAACCAGCAGACTTTTCAAATACACACAAAAATAATTGCAGAAACTTCAATTACTGTTTTCTCAGGATAGTGAGGAAAGATGTAAAGATCACAAAAACACTAGGATCACTTCTAAAGCCTCACTGGCAAAAGGTTTTGTTTCCTTTTAACCTATAGTCTCTAAAAAGGAGTTTTGTAAATATTCTTTAAAAAAGTGAGAACACCATTAGAAACTTCTATCCACAATTCTTCTGTTCTGGAGGCCTCATTCACAGGAAGCTACCAGTCTGGTAGCTTCTAGTGTCAGCTGAATGGATTTACTGTCTCCCTGAACTGCTTCTAGAGACATAAATTAGTTTCTTCTCCAGAGAAGTTTCTCATAAATATCCTCAAAACCAACTAATTTTCTTTCAAATCTTTTCTTACAGCTCTGTTACCCCTCTGCACATAGGGCAGTACACTACCAATCAGGCCCACCAGGAATACCAGTCATGTTATGTCCTTGTCCATTTCTGACAGTCTGCTTATATGCTTCTTTCAGCCTTTGTTTTATAGTTTGAAAGCTAATGGTTTGTGGCAGGGACAGATATTATTCTGTGTTAATACTATAACCTGTACAGCAACAATAATAAAAATGCAAGGGGGAAATGGTAAAAATTAATGAGAATGCTAGGTGATAAAATCTTATTCTACCCTGGCAACAATGTGAAAGAATCAGTTCAATTCCACTGTGTCTGAATAAAGAAAAAAAATAGAAAGAAACTTACAAAATCTAGTCAGTAGTTGTCTGACACCAATAATTTAATATCTTTTTCATATAAGTCTATATGAAGAGACATGTAAGCTTCTCTAGACAATCATCTGAAGACAGAAGCTTTAACAGGAATGTTTCTGGAAGCCACTAACTCTCCGTCTCAGCAATTGCCCTTTCTTTGCATGGAATTTATTACACACTGAAGTCAAATTCAATTACAGTATATTCAGGTTACCCCAAATCCCAGTGCTTCACTGATATTTCAGCTACAACAGGATAAATGTCCACACTCCAGTGAAAAGTATATTCAACTGGCTTTTTAGAAGAGGGTAGGTCTACTGCATCATCAGCAGCACTAGTACTAAATCCTACAGCAGTTCAAACAATCTTTGATGGTTAAAGCTTCAGTAAACCCTTTGCCTGATGAAAAACAATCTCAGTGGGTTCCACAAGGGAGTTATTAGGGGGCTCCTCAGGTTGTTTTAAAACTGAGAATGGCATCCTTGTAAATATTTTTCATCCTTGCACATCGGTTCTGACCAAGGCAGACAGAGTAGAAAAAAGAGAGCTGCTCATTACAAGCACAGTTTCATCACACTACTATGAGCTCAAACTACTAAGTAGTCTTTACATTTCCAAGGCATACATGTGAAAAAGATTGCATTTAAAAGCACCAAAAAGCCTTGAAATTGATGTATTTCTGTTCTGTGGTAAAAACTAAGGGAAGGTGCTGATCCATCAACATGAAAAACCCTTAAGAGTATTTGGGCACTATATTTTTCACAGGATAAGGATACTTTGAAGCAACTTTGTTTATCAATGGGATTGAGACTGCAAGATTATCACACTAAGGAGGAAATAGCACAATATAGATATATTAAAATGAAAGCTAGTTTAGATGGTGGTGGGACATTATAATGCATCTTAGATTATTATCTGAAGGATGATTAATTTGGATGTCTAAGAAAGTGGAAACTCTGATTGATCCTTTTCCTGCCACTGAAGAAGTTTCAGTATGATATTAACCCTCTTTTTCTTTACATGGTGGTATGTTCAGTGAGGACAGTGAGGCTGTGTTAAGTGAGGCTGAAGTGTCACCATATAGCCTGAGTCAGATTAGGAGCGCCATTCTGTTGACAGCGGAAGTCCTACTTCCCTCACCCGTTATCTTCCTCTCCACTTTTTAATGCACATTTCTGCCAGTTACCTGGGACAGAGCTAATTCTGGGACCTGAATCACACAGGAGGCAAATTGATTAAAACAAATGTATATTTATATTATTATAATAATATTTTTTACTATTGTTACATACTATTAAATAGTTTCATGAACAGTTAAATACTGTTTCATGAACTGAGTCAGATCACTTTAAAATCTCCTGGAAGCAGGGAATATGGAAGGGAACTGTGTAGCTGCAAGTAGTGGAGGAGGAAGGTGGGGAATGCGGGAAAAGGAAAAAGAAAATAGAAAGGAGGGAGAGAGGAAGGGAGACCTCAAGCCAAGCTGTTAATTCAGTTCAGCTATAACATAAATCTGGTCCTTAAGAGAATACCTCTCTTCCAGCCTGCAAAATTTTCATTATACTTATAGGAGCTATATATCTTCAGCCCATCATCTCACTGGAAAACTTTACAGAAGCTGGTTAACAAGTCAGGAAGTTATTCAGAAAAGAAAACCTGAAGGACACATTGGGGCCACATGACCTCTTTTTCTCCAGGAAATATTCTTATGAAATACAGTTATGTGGGAGACAGAAGCATAAGCTAGTTCATATGTAGAGCCAATGATGAACTGATTAAAATGGCTTATTTAAAGATGAGAATAATCAGTACAGGTGGAGATTCAGCAATGACACCTGCAGGGAACTCATCTGTCAAACACAGTTAATGAAAGACTAATCCAAAAATGCAGGGAACCAATTCCATAGAAGAGAAGGAACGATGTTTAACACTGAGTTATGTATTAGCTCATGTTTCACCACTTCACTGCCATCTTTTATAGTAAAATATTGAAGTAAACAGTGGGCTTCAATCAGTCTTGACACCATGAACATAAGATGAGGAATGAGATCAAATGTAGGTACAACAAAATGGTATTATTTCTACTATAATGATGAGTTACTGCCTGTTTGGTCTTGGGGGTGTGTGTTCTTATTTATTTTGTTTAAGAAAAACTAAACATTAAAAAAAATTTTTTTTGAAACTGTCATTATCATTCAGTCATAGTTGTGATTTATGAACAAATCAAGCATTTCAATTTCAGGTTACCATTACAATTTAATGGAACTGCAGTGAAATACATTATGTTATTTTGTAAGGAAGAATGTACAAAGGATAACTATGTGACACACAGTGCTAGTGTCTATTGTCCAAAAAACCGAAAGCATTTACTATGAAATTCAGATATTCAACCACTTATTGTTGTGTATCTAGCAAACAATAATTTTGTCCTTTTAGTTCAAACTATACTCTTTTGTGTAACAAAATATTTAAGGATTAGAAATTACCATAAACCTTAACATTCATCCACACTATTCTGATTTGTCTCTAAAAAATGTATAACTGAATATGACTTACCTTGAAGAAGAGCCGCAATTTGGAGTGACTGCTGAGATGGATGCTCTTTCAGAATATCTAAAACGGTTCTACCCAAACTGTCCTTTATGTTGGTATCAATTCCTGAAAAAGAAAATGATCTGTGGTGGAATTTTTAACCCCAAGTATTTTGGATTAGAAATACGGTATATCAGACTCAATTATCTGGCAAACTGAATGCAAGCAGTAACAGATTAACAGCTGTGTTACTGTTGAAGTACAGCATCCATTTCTGCTTAAAGCTTGAGCAGCCTCAAATTCACATGCTGACATAGATTGTTATGTTTCACATGTAATTCATGGGGATATAAAGTAAGCTTCTTAACCAAATATTGGATTATTTTAACTGTTCTGAAGAAACAGCCATCCTGAAAATATTTTATAAAATCAAAAAATTCTCTGAATGTTTTTCCTACATTCCTGAATTCTAATTCTCTCCAAAGTGCTCTGATTCACAGGGGATTTTCTAGTCCATAATAACAGTATGTGTTTTGAGAACAATATTGAAGAAATTATTAACCTTAAGTGTTTTTTACTTCACAGTGAAAAGCTTGATATTAATGCTCTAGGTAGACTGAAATGACCATATGTAGGAAAAGGGCTCTATGAACAGCCAGAGCATTTCCAACTGTTCAGACTTTTGATAAAGTAATAGTCTGGCACAAACTGTGAACATAACCTTAAATAAGTTTGAGGCTTATCCCAGGTAGGTCTCAAAGAACATGTTGTACATGATAGTGCACGACACTCCACCCTAGTTTTGTAGGGACTACTTTGGAAGTGTTTGCCTTATGGCAGAAGACTGATATTCTTTTTTGGTTGTAGTTTCAGTTTGGATGTACTTTCATAAAAAGTAAAGAATGAGATTCTTCTTGGGACACTGAATAGAGGAAATCAGGGGAAGCAGGATTTATGATGACATTCTGATGGCTTGGAAGGATTTCTCTACTCACCAGAAAAGGCTGCAGTTCTTGTCATTTCCTGACCTGATAGTGAGTTTCCTAATTTGTTTTGTGAGAAAGAGATATTTATTTTCTCACTGAAAGGAAAACTAAAATATTGCTGGGCTAATTAGCAGCAGCAGCTGATTTTCAAAGGCCAGACACACCAACTTACACCTTGCCTTTGCAGTAGCTACTTAAAACGTCTTCCAAGTTTGGTTTGTTTGTTTTTGTTTGTTTTTGAAGCAGAACAAAAGAATATGGGATTTTTAGGTAGAAAAGGCAGAAGGTGGGGAGTGTTGCAGAAGTGCAGAGAATCTGGCGTTGAAGGAGTTCACAGTGAGGACTCTCCACTGTCTTGTACAATTCCACTGTGGCAGATGTTATAATGTGTACTAATCTATAAAAGGGAGTCTTTATTTGTCCTCAAACATAGGCTCTTCCTATATTTGTGTGATCTTCTCGAGTCCTTCCTCTTTTAGGTGAATTAATACAGAAAGGCCCTCCCTTTCTGAGGGCAGCTAGAGATCCCCTTCTGCCTCCTTCTTATTCATCCAAAGAGGAAAGCATCTTGGAAGGACCTCTTTTTTCTGAAAACAGATCTCAGACCAGGTATACACTAGCTGAGATTCAGATGAGCTGTGAGTAAGTCATACCTTCTTTTGCATTATATAACCCCACAAGCACTGAAAATAAAGATCAATGATATCCCTCAGTGTAATGGAAGTTCACATAGCAGGGAAGTAATTTCTAGATATTTTCACTTTCTTTGGTCTTCTCATTTATCTGAGAAGATAGTTGTTTAGATGAGTAATTTACCTGCAGTGATTCTGAAATTCTTATCATGTAGTAGATGGGTTTTTTGAATTCTACATATCTCCTTGTTCTCCTGTTGTTTCTGGACAAATGCATTTCTTAGAGACACAGTGCCTTCCCCTGTCTTCACAAGCACTCAAATTTTATCCAGGCAATAGAGCAAGCAGGATGGTGTGTTTGTTAAGAATAGCAAAGTGAACGAAATAATTGTGAGCATGAACCTTCTGGCCTCTAGATCAAAGAATATTCTTGGCTGTCTTTCAGAGCAAATAACAAAATTTTACATACACATTTTGCTCTCAGAATACAGAGGCATACACTGAGTCATATATGGAGTTTCTCAGTCTAGTGAAAATACTCATTTTGTTCTTTGTGTATAGTAATTTCTTATTCTAAAATAACACTCTTTTAAGGAGAGATACATGTGATTAGATTTGCAAAGACTGAGAAAGGTAGCAGTAATTTGTATAACTTGGAGCACTCTGTATAATTATGGTGTCCTCAGCATAAAAAAGGACATGGAACTGTTGGAGCAAATCCAGAGGAGGGACAAGAGGATGATCAGGGGACTGGAGCACCTCCCATATGAAGATAGGCTGAGAAAGTTGGGGCTGTTCAGCCTGCAGAAGAGAAGGCTGCGTGGAGACCTCATAGCAGCCTTCCAGTATCTGAAGGGGGCTTATAAGGATGCTGGGGAGGCACTTTTCATTAGGGACTATAGTGATAGGACAAGGGGTCATGGGTTAAAACTTAAACAGGGAAAGTTTAGATTGGATATAAGGAGGAAGTTCTTTACTGTGAGGGTGGTGAGGCACTGGAATGGGTTGCCCAGGGAGGTTGTGAATGCTCCATCCCTGGCGGTGTTCAAGACCAGGTTGGATGAGGCCTTGGGTGATATGGTCTAGTGTGAGGTGTCCCTGCCCATGGCAGGGGGGGGTGGAACTTGATGATCTTAAGGTCCTTTCCAACCCTAACTATTTTATGATTCTATGATTCTATGATCAAAACTTGAGAAGGCATATGCCAGTTTAGGAATATTAAGTATATTTGTTCAGTGTTTCCTGTAAATCAGATTTACCTGTTTCAAGCAAAATGCGTACTACCTCCACCTTTCCAAATAGGGCTGCTTCATGCAGTGCACTCCCTTTTTCTGTCTAGAAAAAAAAAAAAAGTGACATTTAAAATGTAAATTAAAATAACCAATGAATAATTTTGAAAAGAATGCATTTAGAAAAGAAGTATTTATTTTCCCCTCTATTTTATCTACACATAAAAAACACTGAATGGGCAAGAACAAATGCTACCATAATTTTTTATTATTATTATTCATGATAAAAACATAAATGTTGTCAGTTCTACTATAAAAATTTCTAACTATATAAGAAAATATATTAGGAATGTAATACAACTCCCAGTTAGCAAGCCTTTGTTGGTGAAAAAATTCTAAACTCCTATTATAGACAGAGAAAACCTAGTCAATACTATCAGTGGAAAACAGCTGTCAGCAGTTAGACAGTTTACTTGTGGACATCTACACTTAGGTGTTTTAATCTGAAATTGGACCACACCGTAGAAGGTCAATTGCATGGTGAGAGATGCCCTAGGATATCCCACTTGATCTCCAGATGATGTTCCAGTTCATGCTCACAGTTGATCTGCAGCACATCTGCTCCATACAGATATCCTGGATACCCTAAGGCACCTCCAACAGCATCAGGTGCCTATTTTTCGATCATTTAAATTCTACCTTAGATGTCTTTGAACCTGATTTTTCAGATTTCTGCGACACAAAATTCTTTATGAATGAACTTTTTCTCAAGTAAAATTTACAGCACTGAAAAGCAAATTACCTATCTTAACATGCTACTTTTCTTAGTATTTTATACTTCTGCTACTGAAAAATCTGAACAGAATGCCTTTCCATACAATAGTATCAGCAGTAGCTGTCCTGGGTTCAGCAGTAGCTGAACACTACTAGAAGCACTATTATGTCTCATTGAATCCCTGGCTGAATTACCTTTTTTTTTTTTTCCCCTAATTATAGTAAATTAGATTTTGAGTGGGTTTTATTTGTGGTCAAATGATAAAAAAATAAACTATGGAAATCAACTCTAAAATGAAATAGTGATTCATTATTTATTAGTTGTATCAGAATGCACAACTGTTACAGCCATGCAATGAATGACAGGGTATCTAGAAGTAATCAGAGAAACTGAGATGGGTACTTTCTCCAGTTCTGGGCTCCCCAGTACAAGATAGATAAAGAGCTATAGGAGGGAGCCCCTAAGAAGATTAAGAGACTGAAGCATCACTCCTCCAAAGAAAGGCTGAGAGAGATGGGACTGTTTAGCCTAGACAAAAGAAGGCTTACAGGGGATCTCATCAATCTTGGTGGTGTTCAGTGACAGAAGAGGTAATAGCAAAAACCTGGAACACAGGAGATTCTGCCTGAACTTAAGGAAACATTTTGTGCTGTGCAGTTGACTGAGCACAGGTACAGGTTGTCCAGGAAGGTTGCAGAATCTCACTCCTTGGATATTCAAAAGCTGCCTGGCCATGGTCCTGGCAACCTCTTGTAGTTGTCCCTGCTTGAACAGGCAGTTGCACAAGATGACCTTCATAGCTCCCATCCAACCTCAACCATTGTGAGATTCTGCCTGTGGTAATTATCAGTGATGTATACAACAACAATTAAATCCACAGAGGTTCAGATGTTATAGAAGTCCTGAGCACTAAATTTTAGCTCAACTGAGTATGAACTGCAGAGATAGAGACCAGCTGCACCTTGACTAAAGTTATAGAGATAATTCTGTGTTAAGAAGGGACCTTTTCTAATGGAAAAATGGACATACTTTAGTGAAAACAGCTATCTAGAATCCATTGATGTGGCATCATCTGTGACTGAGAAAGATTAATGTTCTGTCATGCTGAATCATAATCTCTGAGGACAAGAAAGAGGATCTGTCCTCAGACTCCTCAGTAAAGGGGTAGAAAAGATCCTGATATGATTGCCAGAACTGGCAGCAGTCCTCTCTATTGATCAAAATTCCCCACTGGAAGAAAGGCAAGTAATATCTTCCTTGGTGAAAACACGCATCTCATAAGAAATAGAATGAAAACATGCAAAGAGGAAATTTCCTGTAGATGTCAAAGGAAATCTATCTGGGGCAACTTCAGATCCAGAAGATAGTTCTGTTCACAGAACCAAAGCCTTGTTATGCATATAAAGGGAATAGAGCCACCTATATATGTAACTCATAGTGGTGGGACAGGAAGCCAAAGCCAAATGCCATTTTTTTCATTATACTTTCTCACTTTTTGGTCTCTTCTACTGTGGTATCTCCTGACATACCTGAACATGATTCTGAAATGCTTTACAGGCATTCTGCACTGTCCTGAATTCTGGGGCAGTCTTTGCTTTATTAATACAAGCTATGAGACAATGCTAATGAATGCCATATTCCAGAAATAAGACATATATTACAAACTGTTTGAAAGAGGATTTTGAAAGGCACGCCATATAAACACTGGAACTATTTTTCCACTACATAGGTGATTTTCTGAGTAAAAGGGGAAACATTGCAATGAAACTGAATTAAACTAAACTAAGTCTGGGAATATGGAGATTTAAAGTACACTTGTAAGATGCAGTTGTGCCATTCTACATGAGATGTCATGAAGATGAATGCTGACATGAATCTTAAAAGCCCTAGGCAGGATTTCATGGTAATAGCAAATAACTAACTAGGGAATCAGATTCCTCTGAACTGTCCAGAAGGCAGAAATGTCCTTGTTACCAGAGAATTCAGTCACCAAACTCCACTAACAGAGGAAAAATGCTAAGCCTTAGGATGAACAGGGCCAAGAGAAACTCGGAGGACTGGCTGACTAGCCATATACCTCTTTGTAAATGTACATGAGGCCTGCTACTTGAAGGCAGAAATAAGGTTGGGTTTTATTGTGGTTTTTTTTCTGGTTCAAAAGAGCATATTACACAAATTAGAATGATTGAAAAATGTAGTTGCAAATAATACCTATATACTATTTAAGACGTGCTAGAGTTTTTGAGTAGAACTTTTCACTTATAATGGTGTACCTATGTGCTCTTGTCTATGCTACAGCAAGCAAACTTAAGATTTATCGACAATATTCACTGCTTTACTTCCTGAAGCTTTCATTGTCTTGGATCATATTTTCCTGGCAAAGTGAACACTACCATTGAACTTGGAAATTCTTTCACAGTGATATTTAATGCAAAAAATGCTGTTATTTCTTGATTAATAGTGAGCTAAAGTCTGCTTGAGTTTGCACGAGATGATTAGATATTGGTTCCCTGGTATAAGTTTTCTGTATATAAAATATACAGAACTACAGCTCAAATTGTGCCACCAGTCCTTGCCTCAAGTAGCTTACAGCTAAATACAGGTACAATGTCACAGCTGGACACACAAAGCAAGCAAGGATAGAAGGACATTGTCAGTAGGGACACCAGGATACACAAGTCAACTTGGCGTACAATTTGCAGGCTCACATAAAATCATCAAGGGTTTTATTAATCGGAGATTTTTTAACCATGTAAATATGCAAGACCTTGTAATTAGGTCACTTGTCTACTCCTTTTTCATAGGCGGTTTACTATAGTTTCGATATGGATTTCAGACATAATCTAAAGGATGGCATGTTAGCTTTGCAAATTGATTCATGGAATATCCTTCGTACATAGTGACAGCAAAAAGGAAGAGGCATAGCTTTTTGCAGAAGAACTACAGTGACAAGCAATGGAAATTGCCATCATCAAGGGAACAGATGGGGAAGGCAAATAGGGATAGATGAAAGTTGGATAAGCAGAGGAGGCCAAGTATTTAAAATATTTACAATTATAAAATTACTGTTTACATGAAACACACTGAACTGTGCAGTATCTTATGTTACTGAGGGCCCAAAATCTATCACTCACCCAAAACCTGTGTATTTTTCATATGTTTCAATTTAAATGAAAACTTCAAAGCATAAAGAGATGAAGCAGATTTGTATTGCCCACTTCTAAATAATTTCAGATTGAAGGATATTGGATAGACCTGGGAAATGAATAAAATGTGTGATTAATTCAATCAAAAATTAAATGTTGTCTTTTATTAGTCCAATATTTACTATGATTAAAAGTGCTCAGGAAGTACAGAAGACAAAGATAACATGGCTAAAGTAAACTTCCCATTTAAACAAATAAATATGTACAATTACAGAGTGATAGCAGATAGGCTACTTCTATAATTGTCTCTCAACATTCTGAGAGCTCTTTACCTCTGATAAGATGAATTTATTTAATGTGTATGAATGTGTACAATTTTATTTACCACATGGGCTTATACTTTGCATATTACTCTTTCCCAATCAGTGATGCAGAGCAATTTAATTAACATTAAAAGAGCTGAGTTCAGTTTTAAGTAACAGGCTGATATTGTATGCTCTGCTTACTTCAATAAGCTTCCAGTAATCATCAATAAAGAATTTTTCAGAGATTATAGAAGTAATAATCTAATAATATGTGCAGAGGCAACTTGCCAGTATGTTAAGATGCTGAATGAAAAGGAACATATTGATGGAGAATATTTATACTGGTGAGAAAATAAATAAATTATATGGCAAGTAGGACAAATACAGAAGAAACAAGATTACCCAGGGGGGGAAAAAATCCTAAGAATGGCAAAGAAAAATAAAAATATAAATTACTTAAAACAAATAAGAATTTTTAATAAAGAAAAAAGATCCTAGAATTTTAGTGTTGATGGCAAACAGATGACCAGCAGTAAAAGAATCTCATATTTCTTAAGAGAAGACTACAAAATTTGCAGCCACTGTATTTTTGTAGACCAGGGAAAAATTTTTGGTGTAACTATAGATAGAAATGGTTTAGGAGAATTCACAGTAGTGCTAAAATAATCTTGATTACATAAGAGGAGGAACACTTTTCATAAAAGAATTGTGTAATATTCAACCCCCATGTAACTGTCAGTTTGTAAGTCACCACAACAGACACTATTTTTCTTCAATTATTAAATTTCTTAAGTATCTTATTCCGTTTCTTAAGTATCAATTCAGGCATCAGCTTCTTTCTGACTTTTTGCTCATTCAGTTGCTAAATAGAAGAGAAATTATACATTCAGAAACATGTACTGAAGGGTTCTGTTGTGTGTTACTTTTGCATTAAACTTTTCTGAATTACTGAAGATGCAGTAATAGTAAAGGACAACTGAAACAAAAGAGCTGCTTGTATTAACCTTTCAAAATATATCACTTTCTGGTAAAGAAAATTAAAAGTAAATTAAATTGGAAGCATAATGGTAGGCAAATACACAGGTAGGCAAACCACTGGGAGAAAAGTGTTTCAGTTTGAAACAGTTCAAAGCAATGACAATTCTAACTCAAAAGATACTAGAGCAAATAAAAGTAGCAAAACAATTTTACCACGTTTTCATTCTGAAGGCATTTGAGTTTACCCATTTTTAATTTTCTGGTTTGCCTTTTTTTTTTTTGCCTGTTTTTTTTAATTTATCTTTCCTTTCTCACTTTACATTCCTTTTCTCAAAAGTTGAAAATTGTGACCTTGATGGAAGAATCCAGAAATAACAAAAATGCATGGAATCCAGGTACAATCCTTCTATATAAAAGGGAATCACGTGTACAAAGTTGTCAGATTAAATGTACCTAACATGTAAAGTTATTTTAAAACTTAGTCAAATTTCAGGCAAGGGTCACAAGATTTATTAAGCCACTTATTGGTAATGAATGCCTGGATGTGAGTCTAAAAGTAGATTTAATTATGTTTGGTTAGTTGGTTTGTCTGAAAATATGTATAAAAGCTGAAACAACCTTAATTCAAAACATATTATATATACCCAGACAGCAAGAAGGCTACTTTAAATCTGAAGACAAAATGTACTTTAATTTCAAATTCAGGGCTGTCAATCAAATCAAGAGAAATTTTAAGACTGAGGCAAGACTTCACACATAACAGAATTAGGTCCTCTGTAGTTAAAAGGCTTGGACACTTTCTACTACAAAGGATTGGACAAAAAAATTACTGCTGCAATAACTTGTATCTGTTCCAATCTATGTTACTTAAAGTTACCCCTTTTACACCATTGTAACTTACTATGCATTGAACTAGAGGCACCAAACAGCTAACAGGTTAGAGTCAGTAGCTGCAAGAGTGTATTGCTATAGAATTTTCTTTTAGATTTAAACAGGTGTTTAGAAAAGCAGAAAATCAACGTTTGGGAAAATGATTCCTCAGTCAAAAGTTGTTTCAGATTGCTATGACCATTTAGAGCCATAGATTTAGCACATCAGCTTAGGATCATTAAAGCAAACCTTGTAAACAAAAAAAATATATATAGACACCTACATAAACGATTGATACGATTTGTATATCTACCTGTCTCAAGACAACATTAAAATATATACTCAGCTTTGAAGACATGTATGTTTCTTGAGTTATCCCTTCAAGCACATCATGTGGGTTGTAAAGAATAAATCTGTATTACATATCACCTGCAGCATTTCTAATAAAGTAAATGAAAGCGTATTTTAAAAGAAAAAATGTAAGAAGTTATTGAGTCATATTCTAATGATACATGAAAGTAAGGAAAGAAACTAAGAAATGAGGAAAGGAAGAAGGGAAGAAAGTAATTACACACTAACTTGGCAGCTGACATCCATCCCAGCCTCGAGAAGCACCTGTACAACAGCTTTGTGGCCATTACGTGCAGCAAGATGCAAAGGGGTGTGTTTTCTTGTATTGCAGTTCATCAGGTTTGGATATGCTTTGATGATCATTTTTACAACACGTAGACGTCCATAGAGCGCTGCCAGATCCAGAGGTGTTTCCAGTTTGTTGTTCCGTATTGTAGGGTCTGTTAGCTCTTCTAACAGAACAGCAACTACTTCCGAATGACCATATTGAGCTGCACAATGCAGCGCTGTTTCATTTTCATTATTCTGTTAAAACAAAACAAAAGCTTCAGAAATTCATGTTTAATCACACAATAGAATTGCTCAGCTTCTATAAATTGCCTCCATGAGATCACTACAGACAGGGTTTGCAATATTATGTATGGTAATGTATGTTAAATGCTTCAGAATTATTACACTAAAATTTTACTAATAATACATCAATCAGCTTTGTAGCTCTCCAGTAGACTTGGTCCCTCTATGTCCACACTGTTCCAAATCCATTTTTAACAACCTGCCCCAAAAACCCTCGTTGTTCATGATATGCCGAAATCTGTAACCCTTCTTGATTCAGCTGTTCTTGAAATCATAGTTGAGTCCTTCTGTTAGAAATACTCTGACACTTAAGTCTCTATTCTCAGTTTAACTGCTACTAAGAAGGAGAAAAATAACTGTTACAACTGAACCCAGGACACTGATTTTAAATCATAGCAGTTTGTTATTGCAGTTGTGAAATTACAGAGGAAAACTGTATAATGAAAATGTATCAGGCACAAGGTGAGTTTCACTATAAAAGTTTCTATCAAGACAACAATCAAAGCATGAAGTAAGCAAATAACAACTGTAGATATTAGAAAGCAAGCACATCACATAAGCAGCTAGTTTTCTCAGAGCTCCAGGGAGATGTATGTGTGTGGTTTATATCATATTTGTAAGCTGTGGATTGAATAAGTTTTTACTGTATAAAGTGATGCTCCCCAAGTCTTTCCCCAAACACTATTTAATGATCTTAATAACAAATATTGAGAATAAGCAATATCTTATTTAATTGTTCTCGTACAGTTCTGCCTGTATATTTACAATCCCAAACAGACAAATAATTTCAGGCTGAGAGGAAGGAAAGTTATTTATAGAGTTCTCTGAATTTTATATACTATTTATATTATTAATATATCTTATGTAGGCTCTATGAAGACTTAAAATAAGCTAGACACTATAAATTTTAAAATTGTGTACATTCAATGCTTCTTCTGATACATGATTTATAAAAAGTTGTGACAGTTTTGAAAACGTTGTATAAGTAGAAAGCCACTAAGCTAATGTATCATATAAAGAAATCAAAAATTAATGGAAATTCACAAAAGATACTAAAGAAGGCTAGAAATATAATTCTAAAGCAATGAGATAAATCCAAACCCATAGGCTTTATTTCTCAAGGTAATAATTGAATAAAGATCTGGGGACAGAGAACTGAAACTAGAAAAAAAAGCTTTATCTTTTGCAAGACAGAAAGAGGGAGAAAATCAGAGAAATGAGGCTCTGGCCTCTTACTCAAAAGCTAGGTAGAATAAGAAAATTCATGTTGCATGATAATATCTAGAAAGGTGAAAAGAGGGACAACCTTTTTTTCTTTCTAGTAACAATGTTTCTAATTCTGTAACCAAGAACTAAATTCTTGGGTTTGTGGTTGTAATAACACTGTTGTCAATTTTATCTCAGCTTGTAATTTAAAATGACTCAGATGAACCTCAGAGACAGAAGAGACAGATCAATACATTCAGATAAATTTAACATTGCAGATAAAGTCTTCAGGTGTCTGCAAAACCACACAAGATCCCAGAGACTGGAATGTGTTTCCTGCTAAACTGCGAGACAGAAGCTGGAGAAGAGCCAGATAGAAAGCGAGAAGTTTCAATTGGCAGACATGGCTTGATGACTAGTAATCCGTGTGCATTATTCAGACCACCATGTGGTCTTTCTCTATTACATAGACCATAAATTCAGGTTAAAATATGTACTATCACAATACTGTACGGATGCAATGTTCTGCCTCTGATATGCTTTTTATGTATTCTAGTGTCTTTTAGCATATCCTCTATGCAAGACTGGGCAAAGAATTTTTTTATCTATGGTTCTACACCGAAAATTTCAGCCACAAGTATAGGCACAAATGACAAGCATAGAATCATAGAATAGTTAGGGTTGGAAAGGACCTTAAGATCTTCTAGTTCCAATCCCCCTGCCATCAGCAGGGACACCTCACGCTAAACCATGTCACCCAAGGCTCTGTCCAACCTGGCCTTGAACACCGCCAGGGATGGAGCATTTACCACTTCTTTGGGCAACCCATTCCAGTGCCTCACCACCCTCACAGTAAAGAACTTCTTCCTTATATCTAACCTGAACTTCCCCTGTTTACGTTTAAGCCCATCACCCCTTGTCCCATCACTACAGTCCTTAATGAAGAGTCCCTCCCCAGCATCCCTATAGGCCACCTTCAGATACTGGAAGGCTGCTATGAGGTCTCCACGCAGCCTTCTCTTCTGCAGGCTGAACAGCCCTGACTTTCGCAGCCTGTCTTCATATGGGAAGTGCTCCGGCCCCCTGATCATCCTTGTGGCCTCCTCTGGACTTGCTCCAACAGTTCCATGTCCTTTTTATATTGAGGACACCAGAACTGCACACAATACTCCAAGAGGGCTCTTCACGAATGTAGAATGCAGGGGCAGGATCACCTCCTTCGACCTGCTGGTCACGCTCCTTTTGATGCAGCTCAGAATACAGTTGGCTTTCTGGGCCAATTTATTTTTAGATTTTCAATAGCTCATGGACAAAATCTAGAGATGAACAGCCAATTGCAGTCTAATTTTGTGTACAGTTCCCACAATTAAGTATGAAAATCAGATAATTGCACATAAAATGACCAATTATGGTAATCTGTGTCTACAGTTACTGTATTTACATATCTGATGGAAATAGTTACCCAAAAATATTAGATGTATAACTATATCCACATTCTATGAGGTAAACAGCAAAATAGAGATTTATTATACAATTGTCAAATAGATCTATATATACAATATCTGCTAATGTTTCAATATTTTTAGCATTTCTGGGTATCATATAAACTATCTGGAATCTTGTGCTAATAGTCTCATATCATAGTTTAAAAGTATTCCGATTTAATATTCAAAGAGACATAAAAATTCAATTGACTACAGCTTTTTTCTCAAAAGGTGGTGACTGGCCAAAATTTCAGCCACAGGTATAGACAGGTAGAGACCAACCAATTTGAATCACTGCTGTTGTGAAGCAAACCAAAATTTCTCCCTCGAAATAAAGGCTATACAGATGAATTTTCATGCAAAGAAAAAAAAAAGAAAAAAGTATATTTCAAAAGAGAATGGTGCATAAAAGCATCTGTAAATCTGAGCAAAATGTTATTATTTTCAAATCAGTATTGCTGAACATTCTTGCATAGCTTGTTTCTTTGCATTTGCTAAATGAAAGCTGCATTTCAGTTAATGACAAATCAAACTGATTCAAAATTAAAAAGAACTAGGCATCACTGAAATACAATAGAAGAATCCAACCTGGAAAAACATGATATTTAAATTATCCACATATATGCAGGTCAGAAGCAGCACTGGATATATTGTGTTATCGGAGCTGAGTGGTACTATCTAATTAAAAGTTAATAAAACGTCCTTTCCTCTTTAAAATGTAAATTAATCAACCCAATTCAGGTATAAAAGACAGAATGATTTTTAACTTTCAAAGAAAGAATTAAAACTTAGTTAAATGCCCTCTAAATTTATCTGCTTTGACAATTTAATACTACTTACATAAAATAATTCACCTTGGAAGCAAGAGGTTTTACTGAGAAGAGAGGATAGAGTTTTTAAGTAGGTTTTGACAGAGTCTGCCATCTTCAAACTTAGCAAAGGAGGGAATGCCTACCAGATAGACACAGTTGGTTCAGCAATCCCAGATACCCCTAAGATGGAGGATGCTATAGCAGTGTATTTCATGGACTGGAAGAAATATTTTAAGAGATAGAAGTTGTTATTTGCAACAGAAATGTAATAAAACTTAAATTATTTTACTTAAACTAGAAATCTCAGTTGTAAGAAGAGAAATACTCATAAATAACATAGTTGGACATTTCCCCTTCTAGACCTACTATGTTTCTTTATGTTTCTTCTTCAATCTACAACAGCCGTAAGGTGTCCCTGCCCATGGCAGGGGGGCTGGAACTAGATGATCTTAAGGTCCTTTTCAACCCTAATTATTCTATGATTCTATGATTCTATAATTCTAAATAGATACTAAGGTACTGAAATTCTTTACTGCATGCTACCCTGCTGTATTCTAACTTCTCAGTGCAGCTTAAAGCTATGTATTCTAATCCGTAATGAACATTCCAGTAACGAGTGGTGTCACCCTAGGTTCTGTACTGAGACCTGTATGATCATCAGTGACACAGACAGTGGGATTTAGCACACCCTCAGCAAGTTTTATGATGATGCCAAGCTCTGTGGTGCATCTGATTCATTAGAGGGAAAGGGATGCCACCCAGAGGTACTGTTACATGCTTGAGAAGTGGGGCCATGTGAATCTCATGAAGTTCAACAAGGCCAAGCACAAAATACTGCAGCCAGGTCACAGCAATTCCTAATACAGGCTCAGTAATTAAATTATTAGAAGCATCCCTGCAGACAAGGACCTGGGGACACTGGTGGATGGAAAATCAGACATGAGCCCGCAATGTGAACTTGCAGCCCAGAAAGCCAACCATATGCTAGGCTTCATCAAAAGAATTCTGGCCAGCAGGTTGAGGGAGGTGATTCTCACCCTCTAGTCTTGTGAGATCCCACCTGGAGTGCTGTATTCAGGTCTGGAGTCCCCAGCACAAGAAAGACATTGTCCTGTTGGAGTGAGTCCAGAGGAGGGCCATGAAGATGATCAGAGGACTGATCTCTTATGAAGACACACAGAGAGCTGGGCTTATTCAGCCTGAAGAAGAGAATGCTCTGGGGAGAACTTCTGAGGCTTTTCAGTATATAAAGGGGACTTTCAAGAAAGATGGAGAGACTTTCTACCAGGGCCTGTAGTGACAGGACAAGGAGAAATGGTTTTAAACTGAAAGAGGGCAGATTTAGATATAAGGATAGCACATTAGGAAGACTTTTGTGATGAGTGTGGTGAGACTCTGGAACAGGTTGCCCAGAGAAGCTGTGGATGGATGCCGCATCCTGGCAGTGTTCAAGGCCAGGTTGGACGGGGCTTTTAGCAGCCTGTTCTGGTGGAAGATGTCCCTGCCCATGGATGGAGAGTTGGAACTGGATGACCTTTAAGGTCCCTTCTGACCCAAACCCTTCTAGGATTTTATGATTCAATGAACATGTTCTAATGAATACTAAGAACAATATGATGAAACAGAAAGATGCCATTGTCCCATAACTTTGAGAATGATTGGATTTAGATAGTAACATTTTTTTCAAAAGACAATTTCTGTACAAGTTATTGGGAAAAAAATCTGAGTGCAAATTACCCAGTGTGAATCAAAATCAAATCTACTGACTTCACACTGAAATTTACTTTACTTACATGGAAGCATAATAAAAATGTAATTCTGTAATTTGGTTGACTACTTTGAATAAATGTTATCTTCAAATTTATTGCTACAATCAAATAAAAAAGATTGCTTCTGCATATTTTTTCTTTTTAAAAAAGTATAACAAGATTTTAAAGAGAAATTCTGAAATTCTTCCACACAGTCTCTAATTTAAGGGGTGGGGGGGTACATCAAATGCAGAACTTGAAAATTGTTGAGTTTGCAGGCTAGTTGTTATCTCTGTGCTTCATTTTGATGATTTGGGGAAGTTAGTAAATACATTAGCTGTTAGGTATTTCTATAATATGAGTGTGTCCTGAACATTTTTCATTCACATTGCAGAAGAAGTGTCAAAAGGCATTAAGGAAACGTTCATGTTTGCTATGAAAATTACAGTTTGATGCACAGGCAAATTCTACAGTACATGAAATACATAAATGTGAGGAAAAAGATGTGCTATGTCTATAAAGAAAAACAGGCAGAATCATAAAACAGAGAACAGCACCAAGAAATTTCAGAAGTGTTCACATTTTTCCTGTACACTTTTCACTATTCATATTCTTCATATATATTAAAATACATACTTTGAACTTGATGTCTATCCCTGATGTCATTCACACTTTTTGCCTGTCATTTCCTGCACTAATACCAAACACTACATATTGACCGGTATGTGGCTGTCAGGTTTCTGGTTTTTTTTTTGTAGATTAGGTTTTCTTATCAATTATATAATTTTATTATGTGAGGTGCCATAATAAACGTTTTTGCTACCCAGATGTTTTTATGTAAATAAATATGTGCTTGACTGTTAACAGCACACCTTTTTATTATATTTGTTACTAATGATTGACAAATCTTGAACTCATACTATCCAATAAATCTTCATTCAATTTATAATTTACATATTTTCAAGTCTTCATCAACAAAGTTTAAACACGTTCTATAATTTCACCATATTTTGTAGTTGAAAACATACACCATGCATGTAAGCTGAGTCCTGTAATAAACAGTGACAGAATTATTACATAATTGTTATGCCATAACCATTTCCTGTGCGCAGAGTTGTCAGTCCACATTCCACGATCCCCATAAATTAATCATCATTTAACTGTTTGCCTCTTTACTGTTTGGGCCTTTTTTCTATTTTATGTAATAGGAACAGTAGGGGGCATTCAGAGCTTTAGATGCTGGATATGGCTGGATATGGTCCTATGATGCTAGCTAACTGCAATTTAAATGGGTAGAATGTAGTTAATTAATTTACAATAAACCATAGTAAATCCATTAATTCATGTAATACACATTTATGCATCATGAGCTTCTAATATATTTCTTTGTGTTGTTCATTACTTTCACTGAAGTTTTTAGAAGCATTTCTTTTACATAGAATTTCAATAACATAGAAGAAAAGCAAAGATGTATTACAAATCAGTTGTGATAATTTTTAAATAACAAAATTATTTCCTTAAACCAAAAGCACATATATTCCAAAAGAAAACAAACAAACAAATACCAGGAAAAAAAAATGTCATCTGACTTGAGTATATTATTTAGCGTGTTAAAAAAGAAAATGGCTATTCTTCTCTCCAATTCTCAGAAGAAAAAACAAGGAAGAAAAATCCCAGGATTTCTTGTAATCCCCTCACTTAAAGAGTTTACCTGCAAATAAGCAAAAGCTTCAGAAATCTAGAGTCATGAGAATGAATGTAGAGTTGGTATGAGAGTGAAGATGTCAGTGTGGTGTTATTTGAAGATCTATGGGTGGAGATGGCTTTATATTGGCATTTCCCTCATTCCATGATATGGGCAATATTCTCCTGTGTAGAGTGCTAATTAACAGGGGAAAGTTGGAACCAGCAAAGTGGCCAACCAGCAGATTTACAAAGTCAGAAGATCTGTGTATGCTTCAATTTAACTTAAAGCTTAATATGATCAAGATGACTTAAGGTACAACATTTCTCGTGAGGATTGCTCAGACATTTTCCATTATGAAGTTTTTGAATTAAATGCACAATCTGCAGGAGATCTGACAACAAAACCTTTTTTGAGTCAGCAGGGTGTAGAATCAGATGTATTCCTGCTTTCCGCTTCAGTGATAAAACCAGAGAGACTGGACAGCACACCTAGTGAAGTCTGAGAATATTCTGTAAATCTGGATATATATTTGGGACTGGGGAGAAGTAGGTTTGAATTTCCATTTCTCTTTTTGACCTTACTGAAGTCTTTTTCACTATCCCTCTCTCAAGTTCCTATACAGCTTCCAGTTTTCTGTCAGCAGAGTATAAAGAATCTCTCCAAGCAAATGGATAACATGGGATCAGAAAGTTGCCTTTTTATTCTGCTGCAGAAATAAAACTGAGAAAACCCCTTCTCCTTGACAAAACAAAACAAACAAAAAAAATCCTACAGTTCAACTGTTTTCACCCTACATGCAACAGCTGATGAGAATAAGAAACTCAGAGGAACTCCTAATCGGCAACTCAAACCAGAGAATGACACATGTTGTTTTTTGTATTTTTCTTGGATGAGTCAGAGTGTTACAGGATTTCCCAGAAGACTGACACATTTTATTACTTTATTTTCCTATATTTCCAGTACTAATACTTGATAGTCATATCATACATATCATAGTTATTGTATCGATTCCAACGGCTAAGCGTAGAACTTCAAACATCAGATTATTGAAATAAGGACAGCTCAAACTGGTGAAGTGCTTGCAATTTAGGTCAAACAATTCTCATTTTCTCACAGTTTGCCCACACTAACGTACACACTGAGAGTGCAATTCATTTGTTAGATTGTACTTTGCCATTTGAGGTGCTGTAGTGCACCTTACTTGGAGTTCACCCACATGCCTTACACTTCTGGTCACTTGAATAAACCTTGTTAGCTCCCGTGATTACACTGACCAGAATATTTATTTCTTTTGTGGAATAAAACAGTGCATGGCAGGAACAGTCTACATGCAGACAATGTGGACACTAAAATTTAGATCTGGATCTGGAGCTGACTCCCACACCTTTACATTCCAATAATTTCCCGATTACCCTGCCAAATTCAGTAATTTACAGTTATTACTCATCTTTCACTGCTTACTTCCATTCCTAAGGCAGTTCAGCTGACTATAGACAGTGTCAGATTTTAATTGCCTTATTTCTTTATATGTTTAAATATTAATCCTATACATTGACCATATAAGAATACACAGAATGAAAACAGGTGTGCCATGTTTGACAACAGAATGCAACATATTTTTCCTGCCTTTATCTACTGTAATACTCTCATCATTTTTTCCTGGTATTTATGTGTCCTTTCTGCTGCACATGCAGTCCATCTGGTTTGTCGTTTATCTCTGCATATCAATTCATTTACAGTACACTCGCAATATAGCAAGAATATTAATTTTATCTCAATTTAATATCTAATGAAGTAAATAAGACATGGTTAATGCAAACTTACATTAGCTTATATATAAGACGCATAGTTACAGTACGTCTTTGCATGATTTTTCAGAAACAAGCAGAAGGTTTCCTCATACTTATAAAATCTAATATCCTTTAGGTAAGTCCCATCGAGAAGAAAGATACCTGGTATGCTCATATTAGAAGATTTTATTAGTCTTGGAGAAGAAGTTACTGAAACAATGGAAAATAGGTTGGTTTGGTTTTTTTTTTATACCTTGGCTATAAATTTGCCAGACCTAAAGCATATGTGCTGCTTTTTTCTGATAATGTACACAGATATTTTTAGCACTTCACCTGTTCGTTCACTCTGGAGTGTGATGGCCCATGATGGATGAGAATCTTCACAATGTCTACATCTCCTCTCCAAGCAGCCAAGTGAATAGGAAAATAACCTTTATTATCTGCCACATTAGTTGATGCTTCATACTGAAGTAATTTGAGAACTATATCCCTGGAAAACAGGAAGTAAATCTAAAAATTGACAGGAAGATTATTACAAGTTTTTACATGAACATACATATGTTACCAAAGTTTTTACCCTGAAAACCCCCTGTATTTCAAGAGAAACAGCTATAAAAACAAAGATCAGTCATTTCTAAGAATTAAATAGATAGTAAAACATAGCCAAAATGTTATTAATTATAAAGTTTCTTACTTCCACGAATACCCATCAACACTGTTATCACTGGTTCTTTGTATCTGTTTATTTCAACAGGATCACCTGGCCATGGAATCATTATTAGAATTTGCCAGTCCAGGCCACATGCATGTCCCTCGAGCCAAACCTTCCTGGCACCAAAGGCAGAGAAGTACTCCTCTCTCCATCACTTCTGAGTTCTGGAGGCAGCAAGACAAGAGGGTAGCTTTATGGATATGCTTCTTGCAGTAAGGCTTAAGCAAGTTTTTCTTCTTTAAGGCATTATCTCAAAGATAGAGTAAACAATTTAATAAAGGCCTAGTTAGATATATAATATCTTCTCTGGAATAACTGCTTCTGCTTTCACTTCCCACATCCAGCTTCCTGAGAGAAGTGAGGAAAAAATTACGTGTAATATTTTAATTCTTATTATATTCCTCTCTGATTTTCAGTGTGGCTTACCATACATTAAATTAAAGATTAGTATAAACTGGCATATTGCATCCCTCTCCTTAATTTCAATAGTTGAACATAAAAATCAGCTGTGCAGTATGATCGTGTTATCAAGTCTGTCAGAAAGTAAATAAATTTTGTCTTATCCCTCCATTTGTCTTCTCATAGCTTGACACAGTCAGGCCTCATTAGTTGTTAGGTTAATAGAATCTATGATCCAGTGTAGGCAGTTCCATACATATTTTTGCTGAATATGGAAACACTGGCTCTTACTGTTTTGGCTCAAAAAATCAGGGGAAGCAGGGAGCTCAATGCAGCCTACGCTACTACTAAAAGCTAAACCCTTGACTACAAATCAAGACAGAAGGTAAATCCCAAAGCAATTGTTCTTCCAACCTTCATGGCACCCTATTTAATTGCCTATCAAGAATAAAATGTGGCAAGTAAGAGTGAATACATCCAGGTCAAAAGAAACTCTCAATTGTATTCAGAAGATTTCATGGAGATACTGGAGTCATCATGTCTAGGCTTTGGGGGAGACTTTAAGTTGGATTTTGCTTACTCCTGACCAGGTCAAATAAATATCATTAAAAGAAACAAGAAAAAGTAGCTCAACTACAGAAAGACTTGCTATACAGAAAGTTCCAGAAAAGTGCCTCCCAAGAGAAACCTTTTAGTACAAATAAGGTTTGAGAGACTTCTCATGTAATAATAGGTGGACTCGCAGTAGACAGTCTAATGAAAGCTCGAGATACAGCGTAGTTTGAAAGGGACACAAATCAAATGAAGCAGGAAGAAAAAACAGGAAAAAAAAACAAAACCCTCCACAACTGCAATCTCTAGATAATGATATACAGCAACTATTGGCAAGAGTCTGTTGCAAGATTCAAGCTACAAAATACAACCTAAATCTCCTTCATCCTTCAAGAATGTCCTGACCCATTACACTTCTCTAGGGCGAGTCTCTTTTAGCACTTTGTCAGAACTTTTTCATTTTGTATAAATAAATTTCAGAGGGAAGGCTGACAGCCCTTAGCCTAGTAACATTACTGGGCTAACTAAAATTACTTAGGGAGGTTGAGATTCAAGTGCCTGCCCCAGATATTATTTAATTACTTATATAAAGCAGGATAGTTTCAAAAGAAAAGAGAACTATCCCAGAATAAGGGGAGGAGGAGAGAATTCATCACATACAATGATCAAACAAGCACCTGAACACTGGTGTCCAACAAGTATCCCACACAGAAATTACTGCTTTGGCCATTAATTCTTATGTTCTCACTTTTCCTGAAAAAAAATGAAATCTTGCAAGTTCACCCTAATTTAACATGTGAAAAATTAAAACTCCAAAACTTTGCAAAAGACAAGAACTCCTAAGTGGGAAGGCTCTTGTGTCACAAGATTGCGCCCAATATTGAATTTGAATATCAAGTTTCAAATCTGAAAGAGTGTGTAAAGCTATTTATTTGTTATTTGTGGTGATTAACGAAATTACAAACACCAGCTATCTTTCCAATTCTCTTGCTGACAGTGCTACCATTGTAGCAGGATCTGTATGGATAGCAGATCAAGAACCATCATGATTTATCATGAAATGCCCCATGATGTATTGCAGTTTAATATAACAAGCTATAAATGTCAGTAACTGTTAAATATCCCACTATGAGGGTAAGAGGTCATAGCAGCCAATAGCCATTGTAACCTTTCCAATAGCTGCAGTTATATCTGTGGCTGTACCTAAGTCCACACCTTGAAGTTCTGTTTGGTCTGACTTCAGCAGAAGTTTGGCCAATGCTGTGTCTGAAAACACTATTTGGCTTTTGTATGTTTGGGATTTTATAGTTTATATTGCTACGATTCACTTGAAATCTTTAATAGATTCAGTGTTTATACAGTGATATTTTTACTTTCCTCGGTAACTATTGGTTTATAGTCACTATTAAACATATTAAAAGCAGCAATCTTTGCAAGCTAAGGCTTGTGCTTTTGTCAATCAAAAATGTGCAATGGCACAAAAAACAATCCATTAATGATAAACAAGAGAAATGTGATTTTCTCCCTTCTTAAAAAAGGCTGAGTTTAATAGACCATATTAAGGGCTTAGACTAAATTCCACAGAGGTAAAATATATGAATGGATTATTCTGCATCTTCCTACAGAACTGAAATTTTGGAAAGTGCACAATATCTATTTTAACAGTATCTTAATTTCATTTATTTATTCAGAAAAGAAACAAAAGATTAATCTGGTCTAAAGAAAATATACAGGTTTCTAGAATACAACTAAAATTTTAATTTTTCCAAGGAAGAATGCAAAAATTGTGAAATGAGTAAACAAAACATCTCATTATTATGGACTCATATGTTATCTTTTGGGCCGTCCAAAATCACATTAATGTTAGTGCAAATCACGTTTAATTTCAGCTGGGTTTTCATCAGTTCCTTATCTCCCACAGAGGAATAACCCAAAGCCTTACATTAAAATCTTCTTTAGTGAAAACCCAGTCAGTGTTAACACGGGCAGTTTACAAACAGGGTATCAGGACTGCAGCAAGTGGAGCAGCTCTTACCATGGTTACAGTGAGGTCCATCCCACTAGAACTTTATAGACCTCATTAGAATTTTTATTCTTGCTCTGCCTTAATTACAACATGCGGTTGGCAGCATAATACAATGGAGGTAACGTAGCACGCAGCAACATGTAATACCAGAGGTAACACAGAACAAATAATAAGGTGTAATAACAAAATATGTAGCAAGTTTCCACATAATTTACTGACATGTCAATACCTTAGAGTTCACCTGAACTGGTATGTCTGTGCAGTACCCCTTGGTGCAGATTTTGAAGGCTTTCCCCAAGACTGTTGAGATAGAATATATGTGTAGTAGCTTGAATGGGCAGCAGGGAGGGAAAAGCTATGAGGTCCCATACAAGGTAATAGCTATTTTTGATTCTTTCAAGTGTATAACTACTGAATATTCTTATCATGTTACTTTGATGTTGATTAATCTATACGGTTTCATTTCAATATATTGCTTCCTTAAACATTCAATGCACTATACATGTGTAAGTACATACACAAGTATATTACAAAATTTTCTGTTGCAATTTCCTACAAGCTAAAAAGCATTAGAGCCACCACTACCAGTAACAATAATAAATTTACTCAAAATCAAGGAAGAATTTGGAAGAAACAGTACAGAATCAATAGATTGTAAAGTGCATTTCCTATTTGTCATTACTACATGCTGGTGTCAAAGTTAGTGTCAAAAATTCTTGTATTAATATATCCCACTGGAAATGAGATTATTTCAGTAAATCATGGATTGTCAACTTTCTGTGAAAATCTCAGTGCTATGCTACCTTTTTTAAATTATGCAGTTAAATAACATTTTACATGAAAACTAAATGTGAGGCACTTACTTGTGTCCATTTAAAGCTGCATGATGTAAAGCAGTATAACCTGAACTGTCTGTGCAGTTTATATTTGGTCCTCGCCAGATGCTGCAAATAAAGCACAATTGTAAAGTTAATTTTTTGGCTTGGCAAGTACAGACATGTCAGAAATTTGATGTATAAATACTCTAAAGACTTCTGCAACAACCAAGAGACGAATTATCTTGAAAAGAACTTAAAATAGCAAATGTCATGTTGATATCAATATAATTTATTTATAAAAATAATTTTACACATTAATCTTTATGAACTTTATGTAGGGCAGCCTCAAAGACTAATGACTATTCTGTCATTTCACTAAGATCTGCTCTCCTACTATTAGTCTGGTAATTGCATTGAGGTTATAATCTGATTTTGCACTACTTTTTTCACAAAATGTATTCATTGACTTTAGGTCAGTTAGTCTAGATTCATACAAACATAAGATTAGTGAGAACCAATCATATCCTTTAAAGGAACAGTAAATATATTCTTTTTACTTGGCCTGATATTTTAGCTCCCATTTAACCAATTACATTTTGGAATAAATTACATATATACAAAACAAAAGTTTCCTTTTTGTTGTTGTTTTTATTTTTGCATTATACATCACTTATTTTTACAGTCAGCTTCATTATATAACTCATGTAACTAGTTTCACTATCTATTGTGGAATCTTCACAAAGCAGTAAAGAAGATTTTTTTCTTTCAAAGTAGAAAAATGTGACTGCTAGTCTACGAGAACAAACAAAAACCCCAAATCCTGAAAACTGGATACCAGAGGCATATTGAATCCCAGCAGATTTTTCTCTGACTACATCTGAATGCTTTCTGAAAGCATTTTTTTAGTGTCACAGAGTTTTCGACCATTAGTATTACGACTTCCAGAACACAAGATTATGAGTCTTGAATGACAATCTGATTTTTTTTAGCTGCTAATACAGTGTCAAACAGTCTTAGGAAAGTTGTATTTTCCCTTCACTCCATACCTTAGAATCAGTTGCTGCAGTTTAAAGAAAATAATCTGAAGCTAATAGGTAAAATGAGTTCTTCATACTGGCTTTTTTCATGATCTACATCAGTAAAATGACATGCATGCTAAATGAATGCTTTTAAAGAATTCTTTACTACTGAATCTGTATTTTATTACCTATGGAATATTGATGTTGTAGACTGGTGTTTTTTTCATTGTGTGTGTTTGAATGATTAATTAGCTCATAAATTTAAGCAGTCGTTTCCCATAAGTAATACGACATGCATACAGATTATTTGTGTAATACATTGTTCTGCACTGAGGAAAATTCTACTTTGTGCTGAGTGCCTCACCTCTCCCTGAAATTTAATTTCTTGCAAAGAAGCAGAAACTGAATTTTTGGTTTTTTTTTATTTTTTAATCTGCTCAGAAGTCTACAGATGTTTCTTTCTATGAAAGGCAACTTCAAGTTGGGAAAGTCACTCTAATCTTTCCAATTAAAAGAAATTATCTTAACTTCATGATGGAGTAAAAATTGAGCCCTTGAAACAACAGTTCCTCCATAATAGATATACACCATTTATATGACAGAGACAGGTTAAACTTATCTATTGGGACGCATAAAGCCCTTATCTATTGATATTTTATAACCTCGTTTATATTTTTACATAAAACTTTATTATTTTAAATATTAAAATAATCACGTAAACAACCAGCATATTCATTTACTTGGTTTTGCTTACTTGCTTGCTTAGGTTTAAGTTGTTACGATTTGCCTTTTGGTTGTTCTTTCAAAATGCAACAAATCCATGAGTTGATATATTGCTCATGATGAATTAGGCCCTTAAACCCTCCCCCAGAAAACCAAGAAAAACCTAGTTCTTTTCTCCCCTAATTCTATCCTTTAATCCACACACTCATAATCAGAATTTGGTTATCAAACTAAAGAACACAAGAGACATGAACACATCTTGGCTGCAGGCATCTCTTTTCCTTTGGGCCTGTGCAGAAATCCCCTCCTAGGCAGTCATACATTGCTGTAGTATTGCAACATTATTTTGCACCAAATGGATGCAGGTTCAGTAAATATACTGGTTATTTATGCTTTAATAACTGAAAATTAAGTTCAAACTGGACAGCCTGTGAATAGAAATCCTGACACCCTAAAATTCCCAACTGTCCTGAATAGTTTGCCTAAAGCTCTTCTGTAAAAAGATACAACAGGACAAAAGTCTAGTGGTGCATTAGCTCCATAAAAAATATATGACTTCAGAGAAAAGTGGGGTGCAGAAAGAGGAAAAAGTCTAAAGAGCCCTTCTCTGGCATCACCATCACAGAAAATATATGAGAAATTATTAAATGTATTATCTGTGTATTAAAACACTTCAACAGTTATTGTGAAAGTGACATTAAGGAGAACCTGGAACAAAACAAGTTACCACTGAACCTCCAGAAAAGAGTATTTTTTTCACAGAAGATCAGCAGCTCTTTGGATTACCATTAATATTGAACGTTCTCAAAAACAAGTTTCTCCTAATTCTTTGATGTAGTCAAAAATCAGACTTCTTAATTTTACATGCATTAATAAGTTAGGAATTTTTTCCCTATGTACATTAGCAAATTAGGAAAATCTATCACTTGATGAATTTTAAGAGAGTAACCAAACCTACTTTTTGTGCAAAATAAAAAAATCATTTTTCAGTCAATGATGAATTAAAACGCTGAATTAAAACATGATCATCAATTAGTTTCTTCCATTTTTTCTTGCCAAAGTGAGGCACAAAGAAACTTCAGTCTGTTATGCTACTTAAACCATTGCCAACAGCAAAAAGACCTTCTTATTATAGTTTGCTGTCACTGTGGACAAAGAACACTGACCTTTTGAATTGATGTCATACATTAATTGGAAATACTCTTTACTTGGTAAGAAAATTAACATTTTTTTCTCTTTTGTGAGCTGAGTACATGCAAGAAGTACATGCATTTCAAAGCTGACATGAAAATGACAGACTAAAGAAAAAGATGGCTAGTTGATTGGTATTCTGCAATGTTTTTTGCTATATGGAAAAAATAATAGGGAAGTCATTTTTTCACGCAAAAGCAAGGAAATCAGAAGTTAATTCTGCTAATTTTAATCACACAGGAAGACTCCCTATCAACAGTACAAGAACCATGCATACATGCACAGAATGTCTGTCACAAGTTTGAATGTTTCCATCGTATCTCCACTCTGTACTTTTTATATATATATATATTGTTATGTGTGCACTAATATTTGTGACCTTTGTATGGTAGTTTTGACAAGGTGAAAGGAAAATATTTTTGGTAAAACAATAATATGAGTCCGTAAAATCCACAGAAAGGTGCCTGATGACATCAGCGTCTGTCAGCCCATTGGTTTCACTTAAACCTTAGCTGACAGCTGTCTGGTAACTCCCTTTTGATTTTTTTTCTTCTCTGCAGCAAGAAAGATTACACTGTCTGGGTAGAATCAGTTGCTCCAGAGGAGATGGATAGAGCATGGTGTTCATCACTGCATATTTTAGGGTCTAAACCCTGTTGAGAGCTGACAGAGGATTAGCATATACCTAGCTCTCATCCCTCCCACTCTTGTCCCCACCTTCTTTCCCAAGTCTTCAGCATCTTTGGAAGCTCTTCCTAGAGAACCGCTGGCTCTTCAGGACAATAAAAGTAGTGAAGCTGATCTTGCCAGGCCAGTTTTAACTGTGGGAAATCCTAAACTTACTTTGCATTGCTATAGTACTGCAACATTATCTCCTACAAAATTAATGCAGGTTCAGTAAATATACTGTTCCCACCGATGTTGTTGGCAACCAACCAACCAGCTCAGATAAATTTAGATTCCACACTGTTCCTGTGTCCCATAGAATAAATAGGTATTAAAGGAATTTGTGCTGTTCTGAGCCAAAATCTTCCAAAGTTTCCAGGTTTATTGTTGTTAATAACGTTGTTAAATTGTCAGAAACACATTGCATAAAGTTATTAAAGCACATAGCCAGGCTCCTATGTTCATTAGTGCTCTGCCTATGTTCACACACATTTTCAGTCATGTAAACTGAACTTATACAAAATATATGAACAGTTTTACAGAGCATTTTTGAAAATGCAATTTGTTACACAATAATATGTATCATCAGTTATTCAGACACAAAATAATAATGTTACTGACTGTGAACAGCAGCAAAGCATTCTCCATTCTGTGTACAAACTGCCAACCATGTTGCCCTAACCTATATAAATTAATTGTTACTTATCAAATATAGAAATGTTTCATTTTAGTAAATGTGATACCTTTTTTTCCAACAGTCCTCTCTGATGGAATCCAGTGCTATGTAAGATATACAGTAAAAAGAATGTATGACTTTTTCTTGTATGGCTTTACCTATATTTACACTACTTTGCTGAATTTGAGATACATTTTAAAATTACTTCAAGGAAAATAAATTCAAATATCTGTCTTTAGTGACACTAGGAAAAAAACCAACTTTTAGAAAAGTATGTACATGGAAAAACATCACCCAAAAATGCATTGTAAGAATCTTTTTGAGCAACTGCAGCTATATGTCTTAACAAAAGTGGATGATGTCTTGAGTAAGGCTATCTTGCGTCTTCTTTCCAGTATTAAAAACAGCTGCTGCCTGTAGCAACTGAGAATTAAAAGTGAAAAATAAAACTACTACTAATAAAAAATATAATTATTAACTTAAAAATTAAACAGGAGAAGGGCAGGGGGATTATCAATCCAGTTAACACTGCTTCTTTAAAGCTGATTGTATATATAATTCCAATTGTTCATTTAAGTGCTTTTTGTTGTATTAGTCTGAAATGTGACTCCAAACCATTTCATTTTTGAATGCATGGAATGTGTTTATCTCATTTTGATTCCTGCTCTTCAGTTGTGTCAATATGAATAATACAACAAAATCTGTGGTTAACTAATCCATGGGATTAAGTATGTCATTCGAGTTCAGGCTCTAAAACATCTTATTCCAGTTGTTTTCTTTAACCTTGATCTGTTTACAGCCTTGGCCATAAATAGCGTAAGTCTGGAAAACTGAGGAATATCACTGAACTG